AGATAGATATACATACATGTCTTTGATAAATGGTCATTTTACAGCTGGCAACTCAAAGGAGGCTTTCCAGCTTCATGATGAGATGATGCATAGAGGGTTCGCTCCCGATGACAAATTCTGAGGGTTGTCTGCCCTGCCCTGTTGGACATAAGGAAGAGAAATGCATGTGTTGTGTGTTTGCCAATGTCTTTGAAAATCACACCTCCGCACACTGTGAATCCGAAGCGTCGAAGGTGAGCTTGGGAAATTTTAGCATAAAGCATTGAAACATCAAGTTTTGCATTTAAAGCCTTCTACTCAAATTTTGCATTTTATGCACCTGTTGTTACAGTTGCTGTCTTGCTGATCTTATATCTACACCTGAATAGTTCAGGGACAGATCCATAAGACGGGGAGATTGCTGAAACTCCATTACTTGGGAGAGACCGCGCAAAGTGTGGTAATGTCTGAGCTCCAACTATGCTGTAAAGATTCCATTTCGCAATAAGATTTTTAAGAAATAAAAACATGGTTATTGACTATATAGCTACTGTTCACCATGCGTCTAATATTTCAATTGAACCCTTTCTTAGGAAATTACAGGACCAATGGGGTCAAGTAAACAAAAAAGTTTATGATAAGAATGTCCTTTAGTTATTTTTTCTCAATGCTAAACTGCTTTGTTACTTATACACAGCTGACCAGTGACCACACCTTCAGATATTTCTCTGCTTGATAAGCTTCATCTAGAGATGTTTATTTTAGTGCAAAAAACAGCAGCATAGGGGTTCCTACTTCCTAGCATCGTACCTGATCAGGAAATGTTACATGCAGAACTGCATACTAATTTATTATGTGATGATTTCCACTACTTTGATGATCCTAAAAACTCTGAATTGAAACTATGCCTTTTTGATCAGGTACTGGTGAAATCGAGTAAGGAAATCAAATTGTAAAACCTGGAGGAAATCATGTGAGCCGACCCTAACTACTTGCTTGTGAGTTAAAGGCTTGTGAGAGCAGAGACAGTAGAAAATGGTCAATGGAATTGAAAAAAGGTATCATTATATTTCATCTGTCATATTAACAACCCTCAACTGAAGATATACAGGATGTTGTATGTACAAAACTTACAGTTGCTTTACATGCAGACTAAGCAAAACTGCTGCTAAAAAAGGAAACAAAATATGTCCCCTTCAGTCTGAGCTCCAGAGGAGTGCAAAAAGAAACATTGAATGAATGGAAAAATGAATAAAAGATAAATTAATAACTACTGTACATGTCTGAAGATTCTCATGGGTGTGGGCATCTTCCTCCAGGATTGTTGGGATCAAATGTGCAGCCAGACGCTCCAGGCATCGAGGATGTCAAGGACACCGAGCTTCCTCTTTGTTGCTGTGATTTCTCTCTCGGGACACGGGATGCAGCGATGGTGGTGGCTTGTGTTGCCAGGGCCAGGATGAGAATGAGAACCAGAGGTAGAACTTGTTTTCTTTGGAACATCGTGGTATCTTGTGAACTTCAGTATCAAATGAGGCGCGAAACTAGGACTCGAGGCTATATATTGAGTTTATGGTTTCCGTGTTGGTTTCCTTGGCGGTCAAGGTTTTGACGCGTTAACAGTTCTGCCATGTGGAGTATTCGCAAGGTTGACCGCTGTATACAGAGTCGCTCAACTCGTCGTGAACAAGTTCGCAGAAGGATCTCTGTTGCACAAGCACAATGTATTTCAGAAGTAGAAATAAGATCATTGATTACTGTGTTGCAATTTTTTCCCTTTGAAAAAATCCACAGCAATTCCACCAAACTTCTGCATCAGTTCTATCGTCTTTCATTCGAACATCCCTGATGCGTGCCTCGCAAGGTTCTACAAATGTCAACCTCCTTATTTCGTCGCAGATTCCGTGTGAAGCCTGCCAAATTCGATCCACTGACACCGCGTATGCGCGGTTACGGCGCCTTTTTTTCGGACGTGGACTACGTTCGTGATTTGAGCTTTTGCCTAGGTCATCAGCATCATTGCTTCGGTTGCACTAGCACCTTCGGCGTGAGAAATCAAAGAGTAAAAGGTCCCCTTTACATTCCTTCGTGACCTGATTTTTCTCCTCAAAACTCCAAAATAAGACATCTTAGAATGTATTTGATTTGAGGGTAAAATAGATTAGGATAGTTCCATTCTAGTTTTTCTTGAATTGAGATGGTTCCATCTGGTGCGTGCTTAAACAGATTGTGGTGAATAGTTCCTGCCTAGTCCATCGTGACTCACTTGCCTGCTTCATCACGCCGCCCTCCTCCACCCACATCGCACTACCGCCTTACCCTGCTCGTGCGAGGCGATGAACCGGGGATGGTGAGGAATGGGGCACGCACCGCCGCATGGTCTGTCCTCCATGATGGAGAACCAAGAGGACGCGCAAGAAACTGAGAGAAATGACGTGAGAGAGGGATGAGTTTGTCCTACATTTTCGCGGTGCCACATGTTCCGAATCTATCAGCCGGCTTATCAGCCAGAATCTACAGTGTTTTTCTCTCACAACAAAATAGCTTCAGCCGGCTTTAATACCAGTCGAACAGGCCCTAGAGACGATGGACATCGGAGGTACGGACTAGCGGCGGCGCGTTGAGGCTGCGTTGTGCAGCTTGGCGGCAGTGGGGTGCAGCGACTGGTGGTGTCGGCTGACGCTGCCTTGCTGCCCTGGACTTCGGCGGCCCGGGGCCTGACTCGCGGCTTCGGCCTTGTGTAGCGCTCTGTTGGCAAGGTAGGGCGGCAAGTCACGCTTGGCAATGGCAGCAACGAGGTCCATGCAGGGGGTGGGGGCTTTGGCGAAAGCTTTGCCCTTCTTCGGGCTGATGATGGCGACGCCTCGGGGCGCCGTTTACTTCTTTGGAAGCGTCCATCGATCTGCTCTCTCTCCTTGCATGGCACTTTCTTCCTGAGTGTAAAACCTTGACCTTCTGGTTAGGCAACGGCGGCGCCTGTGGCGTTGTTCCCCTCGTTGGAGGCGTTGCTAGGAAGCTCTTGCTATGCCAGGCGTGGCGGTTGCCGACAAGGTGGAGTCCTAGTTGAGGATTCGGTGTCTAGTGTTAATGGCGTCGGAAGGTGGCCAGAAAGAGGGCGTTCACACAACGATTGGAGGGCTTGGCATCTGCTTGGTGGAGGGCGACGGTTTTGGAGAGACCGTGCGCTAGTTGCGCCCACGAAGATGGTGAGGAGGCCGACGTGGGAGGTGGTGGCCAGCAGTGTGTTGCCGAGGTGACCTGCGTGGTTTGACGGCGGGTGGTCCTACTCAGCGGCGGCCGTTTCGCCGTAAGGAGGTTCTCTGACTGGCAGCTGAAGGATCCTTGTGGCACTTCTATCTTCGATGAGGCAGCTAGGTTGCTGGAAGCTGAAGTGTACGCGCCTGGATCGCGGTGGACGGGATCGACTTGTTGAGCGCCAGAGGCAGCTGCTCATGCATTGGTTTGGCAGCTTGCAGCGGACTATGGCGGCTAGTCCTGCTTGGCGGTGGCTAGTCCGGTGTGGTACATCGTCTTGACAGGCGACGCAAGCGGATCCGATTGCGGGAGGGCTACGCGGCTTGCAGCGATCTACGGCGGCTAGCCCTGCTTGAGTGCTTGGCAGTAGGCGAGCTCGGTGTGGGTCATCGTCGGTGACGATGGCACAAGCAGTGATGACGGCGTTTTCGTCTTGACGTCCTTGTCGTCCGGGGTTTTGGCATTGCAGTGTGGTGACTGGTTGGTGGGTTGGAGTTGGTGGTGGTTCTTTTTTCTGAGTTGTGCTTCAGCTTTGTGCGGTTTGTGTCGATGTCCCAGTCCGACCGACCAGAATTGTTTTTTTTCTTTTTATTGAGTTTGTTTTCTAAGTTGTGCTTCGGTTTTCTTCTTTTTAATATAATCGGCAGCTCTCTTGCCTGATTCATTTCAAAAAAATATATTCTCATATAGGGATGACTTCATCTCACCTGTCTCTAACAAAACACTTGTTCTTGTCCAGTCCTTTAACCAAACATAACACTTGTCCTTATCCTACTCTTTAACCAAACATAACCTTAACCTAAACTCTTGGAACTTTTTGAATTACCTCTCCACCTTTGGATCGAAAGTGGTTTCGAAAGTAGTTCCATCCTTTTTTACTTTAGAACTGGTAGATACTTGATTAGATTTTAAACAACATAAGTTGTTTCTAAACTCATAAAATTTCAATAAAAATCCTAGAGATGGATTCAGACACGACAAAGCCAAACAAACTATTTAGAGCTTGTGACATATCTCTAAAAACTTTCAAGAATTAGATTTAGCACTAACAAAAATGGAAAAAATATCTGAAGTTATTTAAAATTCTAAAACATTCGAATCAGTATCTAACTGTGTTTTATAAAAACTTTCCATGACAAAATATGAGATGCAAGCAGTATGGATATGACATACATTAATGCTCAATGTATTCATGTTGATTGCATCTTATATTTTTATCATGTAAAATTTAAAGATGTATTTAAACATCAATTAGAATGTTTGGGATTTTCTTTAGATTTTTTTGGATATATTTTTGCTATTTCACTAGAGTTAAATCAAAATTAGTCGGACTTCTAAACGTTTTTGAATTTTCTACATGGGCCGTTAAATTTCAAAGCCCAGCCCACTTATGTACGTAGAGAGAGGTGAATGGGCCTATGGTCTAGTGGTAGAGCTGCCGGAGACGTTATCCACCAAGATTCAAACTTTAGTAATTGCACCTTTTTTAGAATTTTTTTAGAAAATTTTAGGGTACACACATGAGTGTTTGGTGATACTGTGCATTTTTCACGCACGGAAATCAACGTGCCTCCCAATCTCTTTTTTACGTGGGTAAGAACACACATGCATACATATAGATTGTACCGGTAAAAAAACGTAGAGAGAGACTGCGCGTAAGCGACCCCGCTTCGCCAAACTGGAATTTTCAAAACCATTCCAAAACCTCCCGCTACCGGTTCCCCGTTTCCCCACCCCTCACCCCGCCGCGCCAGCCCCCTCTCCCGATGCAGCCCGGCGGCGGCGGTGCGATCCGCGTGCTGAACGTGGCAGAGAAACCGTCGGTGGCGAAGGCCGTGGCGGAGATCCTGTCGCACCGCTCAATGCAGTCGCGGGCGGGCCGGTCCCAGTACAACCGCATCTTCGAGTTCAACTACGCCATCAACGGCCGCTCCTGCCACATGCTCGTCACCTCCGTCACGGGCCACCTCATGGAGCTCGAATTCGATGACCGCTTCCGCCGCTGGCACTCCTGCGACCCCGCCGAGCTCTTCCACGCCCCCGTCCGCAAGTCCGTGCTCCAGGTATGCTGCTCGTTCTCTCCGTTCCGCAGGAGCATTTCGCCGAAGAGATGGTGGGCGCGTCTCTGAGGCCTGCGTAAGGCGGTTCGGGTTTGATTGGTTGGTGCGTGGGTTCCTATCGGTTGTGATGATTTTTACATGGTCGGCATCTATACTATTGTTGTGCACTTGTGCTTCGCACTCATGGATGTGCTGGTGTGGGAATCCCGCTGAACAGTGGGCGTGTGTTTCGCTGTGTACAATATCGTGTGCCTGGCGCACTGGGCTGTTTGGTTGGCCTTCAGGCAGCGTTTTGCCTGGCGCAAGCAGTGCCCTGAGGCGTCCGATTTCGGATGCTTGGAGCTACCATGGCTGCCAGGCCATGGGCAGCAACTTGCCTGTCAGGCCTCCAAGCAAACAAGCCCTAAATGATCTCTGATATTTGGAGTCGTTGTCCCATTAGGAGAGGGACACTTAGGGGCCGTTTGCTTGGTGGTTGCCAGGCAGCTTGCCCACCAGGCATGCACCCCAGCCCTAGGCATCCAAAATCGGGCACCTGGGAATGCATTCTGCTCCAGGCAAAGCTGCCTGGATCACAAGCAAATAGGCTCTTAAATGCTAAACTTGTAATTGCAGGCATATCATGATGGTTGCATGAAAAGTGCAGATCAGCCCATTTGGCAATCAATCATCTGGCTTTGTTTAAACCAGTTACATAGAGATCAAAGTTTATTGAACACAATCATTTGATATGCAGTCCTTGCAGGGTTTTAGTCTAGAATGATATCCTCGTAACTAGCAACAACTGCACTGCATGCAGATAAATATTTATGCTAACAAGGAGAAAAACAACTGGATGCTTTAGGTCAAATGATTTGCATCATTCATGTAGCTAATAGCATAGTTGGCCACCTCCACCAATATGTTGCCATGGATTCGATGCTAACATAATGCTTGCTTGGTGTTCTTCATGATGACACAAACAGTCATTTTAGTACTTCTTTCTTGTAAAATCCTCTCTCCCTGTATGGATGAATCTGTTCATGAACATGCAATCATGAGTTGACTGGCATGTTCAATTGTCTATCTTCGGCTGTGATGTTTTGCATATATTGAGATTATTTTCTCATAGATAAAGATTGTGGCATGAACTTCATGGATGTTATTGCAGTTGAGAACTATTCTTGAATTGGTCCCTTCAATATGCAGGACAAGCAGCCCATAAAACAAACTTTGGAAGAAGAAGATAGGAGATGCGAGTGGCTGGTGCTATGGCTTGATTGTGATAGAGAGGGTGAGAACATATCATATGAAGTGATCGAGGTTTGTACAGGTGCGAACAGGCATCTTAACATTTGGAGGGCTCACTTCTCAGCTTTGATTGACAGGTATTGATTTTTCTGGATGGTGATGGTCTCTTTCCCTCTACCTATTACAAGGATTTTCTAAAAATATTATGAAACTGCAGGGAAATACATGAATCTGTGCAACATCTTGGCAGGCCCAACAAGCTCTTTGCGGATGCTGTGGATGCAAGACAGGTAATTTGAGTTGTCACTGGATTTTAATATTGCTGCTGATGTTTCACATACTTGAATCACAACTTTCTACTATGAACCAATGTAAAATGCTCCGGTTCTCTATGAGATTGAGCTCCATGAAGATCTTTTTACTGCATGTTTCCTCTAATACCTGTAGCTTGATGATCCAATCAAATAAATCTAAAAGCAGCAGATTTGCTAGTATATTTCTCTTGCCAATTTTGTTGTGTCAAATGTATGAGTATTTGCCTGTTTATTCTTACTTTCTTGATAAGCTAAGATAAATAATAAGAAACTCTGTACAGGAAATTGACCTTCGCATTGGTGCCTCCTTCACAAGGTTTCAAACAACGTTGTTAAAAGATGCATTTGTAATTGATGTGACTGGGGATGACAGGAATTTGGTTCTGAGCTATGGTCCTTGTCAGGTACTTCACTTATCAAAGCTACGGCCGTGCATATTCATCTGGTATCATGGAGAAGAGATTTAGTTTATCTATACAGTTGAACCCGTGCTATGCGTGTTGGTTCGGCGAGGGTGGCATAACTTGCTTTTGTACATGTTATATACTCTGAGCAAATAATTCATGTATTTACTCACACTTTTCTTTAAGTTGTTGGGTTTACATTTTTTTAGAGAGCCATTTTCATTTCGTGCTAGTAACCTTAGCTTACTACGTCATGTAAGATTCCTAGATCGACTTGTCCTTTATTTCACCTGAATTTTTGTGGACCAGATGGGAAGACGAATTGGACAATGGTACGGGGAGAGGCCGCCGTGGGCGTGGTAGCGGCAGGCAGGCGTCATCTGCATCTGCTGGACAGAGAGGCGGCGCCCAAGCGCGAGGCCGGAGGAGGGGCAGAGGTCGTAACGCTGACGGCGAGATGTTCGTTTCAGCGACGGGCGACACCGTATACGGCTGCTGCTTTACCTGCGGCGATCCTTCCCACTTTGCCAACGCCTGCCCGAACCGGAGGTGTAACGCTGAAGGCGGGATGTTCGTTTCAGCGACGGGCGACACCGTGTCTGCCTGCTGCTTCACCTGCGGCGACCCTTCCCACTTTGCCAACGCCTGCCCGAACCGGAGATAGTCGTCAGGGAGCTGCTCGCTATGCGTGTACAGAGACTGGCGGTGTCCGCCAAACGCTGAAGCCTTCGGATGGTTTTCATGTACGAGGTGAGGTGTCGCTATGCGTGTACAGAGACTGGCGGTCTCCGCAAAACGCTGAAGCCTTCGGATGGTTTTCATGTACGAGGTGAGGTGCATATAATTCAGGTGCACCTGACAAGCTCATTTTCAAGCCTGTCCTGCTCAGTGACGTTCTAGACAAATACTACTATTTTTAAACAAAATGCGGCTATTAGGCTGATGCTAGTTCAGAAAATGCGACGACACTTGCTTAGCAGGTGGATTATAATTTGTACGGAAAACGGAGAGCTGACTCGACTAGAAGAACTTACCTGAACAAGCTCCGTGCGGCCGCTCGGAGACGCTCCCCGCCTTGTGCTCCTCGGACGATTCCGAAACGCTACCGACGTCTGGAAGGCCAGACGTCTCCCATTCACTCATCACCGCATGCGTCGTTTGTCTAAAAAGAAAAAAAAAATCAAATCCCCACATAAGCTCGTCTCCCCACTCTGCGCACGTGCGTCACGGTTTCACGGCACCATGTGGCCGTTCGACCATTCCAATCCACCGCCCGGTGTGCCGCCGCTGCCATTCTCGCGGCACCTCCGTCTCACGCGAAGAGGAGTGAAGGGGACCGTGACACCTAGAGAGGGGTTGAATCAGGCAAAGGCAACTTAAAAATCTAATTTTAAACTATGGTCTCTTTTTCTAATTCTAGCAAAACTTATGCAAAAAATAAACTATCTAAATGTGCAACTACGATTTTGCTAGTGTGTTACTATCTCTACCGCAAAAGGAGTAATATGATTAATGTAAATGCGGAAGCTAAAGAGCAAGTTAGAGATATGCAAACTCCCGTTGACGACTCCGGTATTTTTACCGAGGTATCGAGAAGCGCGTAAGCTTTCCCTAGTTCTCGTTGGAGCCCCTCGCAAGGAATCCCTCGCAAGGGCCAAGCTCCCGGTCGGGTAACTCCGTGGATAGCCTCGGGCCTTCCCCACGCTCAAGTGGGTCTCCGACGTGTCTTCCGACGAGCCTCTCCCGGATGCTCCCCGCCGTCTTCACTATCAAGCTTCCGGCCGAAACGCCGCGGGCCTTGTTCCCTCCGGTACAAACGTGGTTGGTGTGATCTCGCAAGACTACAAGTCCCTCCGATGTACAACAATGGTGCGCGCAAGCACCGAGTGGTAAGAGGTATGTAAACCTCACTAAACACTAGGCCTAAACCTAGAGCAAGCGCATAAGCGGTGGTCTAATCAATCTAAGCACTTCGCAAAGCACCTACGTTAATCACCTAATGAAACACTAAGCACTATGCAAGTGGAGATAAATAAAATAGTGTATCAACACCCTTGGTATGTTTCCTCAGCTCCACACTCCTCAAATGGCCGGTTGGTGGGTCTATTTATAAGCCCCACTGAGAAAGTAGCTGTTGGGGACGAAATCCCGCTTTTCTGCTACTGACCGGACGCTGGAGTCATCCTGATCGGACGCGTCCGGTCATTCCAACCGTTGGAGCTGCGATCAACTGATCGGACGTTGCCAGCGTCCGGTCACCTGCCACCGGACGTATCCGGTCGCAGTTTCGCCACTCTGGAACCTCTCTGTACTCGACCGGACTCTGTTGTCCTGCGTCTGGTCGACTTTGCCGCCAGCGTCCGGTCACGCCTGTTGCCGAGCCTCTTGATCGGAGCGTCTGGTCACTTTTCTCCAGCGTCCGGTCCAGCGTCCGGTCACTTCTGTGAGCTCGTTTCTTCGTGATCTTGCGTCCGGCTTGGTTCCTATCTTCATGCTTGGACTTTGCTTGTTATCTTAGGTCTTCTCCTATGCTTCTAAGGTCTTGCTTATGGTGTTGATCATCGGATCATCACGTCACCTTCGTCCAAGTCACGTCTCGCATCCTATTGAACTACTAAATAATCACTTGCAAATTCATTAGTCCAATTTGGTTGTGTTGATCATCAAACACTAAAATCCAAAGTAAATGGGCCAAGAGTCCATTTTCCTTACAATCTCCCCATTTTTGATAATTGATGACAACACGACCAAAACAAGCAAATAATAAAATTTTGAACTACCTACTTGCTAGGATGCAATGCAAGGGGCAAGTTTATATGATGCTAAAAGATACTACTTGTAAGACTAAAAGATACTACATAAAAACTTATCTTGCCCTTGCAAAATGTTCCCCTGTGGCATTATGGATTTAAGCCTTGCTTCCTACAAATTCTCCCCATTACATAGGCAATCCATAATCCACTATCCTCCCTTTCTCGGACCATTACCACTTATAAATTATTAAGGCTTGCTTTTGGTCCTCTAAATTTTCCCCCTTTTGAATCAAACACCGAAAAGAAAGACATTAGTAGCACAAGGGAGGGTCAAACTTTATGAACCTTTATGTGTAGAGTTGAATAGGTCATAAAATTTGACTCTCACATTATATAGATTAAGCTCCCTTTAAATATATGCATACATATGGTAGAAAGCGAGGCATATGCATATTTGGCAAATTATTGCTCAAGAGAATTTAATCTATATAATGCATGGAGAAAGCATAAAAATATCAAAATGAAATCAACATGATGATATTGGTTTAGAAATACCACATGTGGAAACCAGTTTGACTTCTACCACTTGCAATAGGTGGTGGATATTTGAAGTATGATGCTTAACTCCGGGGACTCCGTTTTCCTTGCAATGAGACTACTACACACATGATAAGCTTGAAAAAGTGTTAGTCTCAAAGCATCCAACTTGTAGAGTAACCTCCCCCTAAATTTGTGCACACAAGTATAGAATACTTGTAGGGAACATGCACATTGATTTTAGAATCAATAATACCACTTGAAAGATGACATCTTATGAATGTGAGAATCATTTCTGAAGTGATATTCGGGAGAAATTATCTACAATTTGGACTTTGGCACATATTAGATGAACAATCAAAAGACAAGCTATGTGCCGTGCTCCTAAATAATTTTAAACCATGTAGGTTTGCTCCAAGGGTTAAGAATGAAACCGAGCAAGACTACCATAAGATATACCTAGTGTATGCATGACAAAAGATATATGTATGCAAATGCAAACATAGGCATGAAAAATAACTAGATGCTTTAAGATGCCGATTTGTAAGAAAATACCAATTGAAGGAAGTACCAATTGAAAGTAATAACATCTAGTTACCTAATATGGGAAGGGGAATTTGAGTCCATATTATTCACTAACCCACTTAGCAATGACTTTATCCAACATGATGCATCCCATGAAATGCACCCATACTTTGCCAAGTCTCCAAATTTTCCGATGTCCATTGGACTTCTCACTTCCCTTTTAGGATCCAAACCTTCTTGGTGCTCTTCATTTTGGAAATGATTTCCTTTGGCACCCAAAAGCGTTTAACCCCATTGTTGGCTTGCTTGTTCACCTTGATGGCCACCACCTTGTCATTTTTATTCTTCTTTAATAAGTATGGTGTGGAGGCCTTCTTGTCCACCTTGTTGGTGTAGGTGTTGGAGAGCTTGCTTGTTTGCTTTTTCTCTTTCTTCTTTGCTCCTCCCCCATTCTTCACCTTGCACTCATAGGACTTGTGGCATACATAGCAAACCATGGTTTGTCCTTTATCAAGCTTCTTCACTCCCTTGACGGTGTTATCTTGATGAAGTTGGGCTTTCTTCGTATTGCCTTTTACTTGAGACAAGTCCTTGGTGAGGCGAGCTACTTCTTACTTGAGTTGCTCATTCTCCTTTTCAACCTCTTGTGTGCATGTATCTACAACAACTTTCTCAACACAAACTTGATTGCACGAGGGTGAGTCTAAACATAAATCATTGCAAGAAGTAGAGGCATCCTTTTTAGACATGTTAAAGATAGAACTTTTCTTTTTAGATGCCTTGGTGGGGGTTGTATTAACGGCTTCAAGCTTAGCAACTTTGTTAGTTAGCTTATCACAATGTTTGCACATGGTTTCCATTTTAGCAAGTAAACTTTTATAAGCATCTTGTGAGCTAGCTAACTTTTCTTTTAATTTTTCATTTTTCTTTACAAGTTGCTCATCATTGATTGTGCATGCATTTGTTGTTGCACTAGCCTTAAGTTGCTCAATTTTAGTAGATAGTTCAACATTGAGATTAGCAAAGTTCTCATATTGTTCGAGCAAAGTTTTGTATGCTTCTTGTGAACTATTTAGCTTTTCTTTTAATTTTTCGAGCTTCTTTTGTTGACTAGTGCAAACTTTTGCATAATTAAGATTTTGTTGCACAATTTCATTATAAGAAGGCATTTCATCATCACTATCACTCTCACTAGAGGATGAGCTTTCGTTACCTCGTGCCATAAGGCACACACGAGAAGAACTTGATGATGAGTGCTTGCGGCCTCGCCTCTTGTGATGGTGTTCTTCTTCACTTGAAGAATCATCCCATGACCTTATTGATGTGAGGGCTTTGTTCTTGCACGCCTTCTTCTTTGTCTTGGGTGTGGGCTTGTTTGGACAAACTTCCACAAAGTGCCTCAACTCACCGCATCCATAACATCCTCTCTTTCTTTGCTTATTTCTTTGATTGGTGAAAATGAGATCTTGGATTTGGATGGGCACACCATTGACATTGAGTCGTTGGATTATCTTCTCCACCTTATTGATTAGTTTGATTGATTCTTCATCAAGGTCGGAGGTGGAGGAGGAAGATTCATCATCTTCACTTGAATCTTCATCATCATCATCATCCTCATCTTCTTCTTCATCTTCACTTGAGGAGCTTGAGCTTGAGCTTGTCTTAACTTGCTTGCCCTTCATCTTCTTTTTCTCGCTACATGCGAGAGCTTTGCCTTTGCTCGATGAAGAGGCTTTCCCTTGACCCATCTTACGTGACATTTCAAATGCCACTATCTTGCCAATGACTATGCTCGGGGTCATGGTGCTCAAGTTCTCCATGTTGTGAAGGATGGTGATGATGCTTGCAT